GCCCAAAACACCAGAGTCCACTGATCTATCCTAACAGCACAAAAACAAAGTCAATCAGGCATTCTGTGTCTTTTGATGAGATACAATAGAAAATATGTAACACAATCTATGAAGTAATTTCAATAAAAATATCAAATCTGTCGGGCTCGGTGGCTCAGCCTGTAATCCTGCACCTTTGGGAGGCTGAGGTGAGTGGATTGCCTGAGCCCACGGGTTCGAGACCCGCCTGGGCAGCGAGACCTCATCTCTATAATAAATCAAAAAGTCAGCCAGGCGTGGTAGCACATGCCTGTAATTCCGGCTACTTGAAAGGCTGAGACAGAAGGATTGCCGGAGCCCAGCAGGTCGAGGCTGTGGTGGCCGGGAGCAACCACTGCACTCCAGCCTGGGCGACCGAGTGAGACTCCAACTCAAAAAAAAAAAAAAAAAAAATCAAATCTGATCAAGTCTCTAGAGCTATTATTTTTCAATATTTGGGGTGCTGGGAAAGAAGGGACCTTCTAGCTTAAGATACACAACTAATTAAGTGTCTGGATCTTTTTTGCATTCTAACTTGAACAAACCTCCTGTTTAAAAAAAAAAAAGTGGAAATCTACCAGGGCCCTCCTGGGCGGGCAAGCTAAAAAAAGTGGAAATCTGAGCACTCAATATTTGATATTAAGGGATTATTTTTAATTTTAAGTTCTTATATTTTAGAGATTCCTACAGAGGTGTTTATCAATGAAATGATAATTCTGGGATTTGCTTCAATATAAACGTCAGTGAGATAGGGAAAGAGTTGGTTAAAAGTAAAGATTAAATAAGTATATCTTTGTGTTGATAATTATTGAAGCTGAGTGATGGATACATCGTGAGTCGCTATACTGCTGTCTCCAAATACTTTTTTATTTGAAAATGTCTAGCTAGAAGAGTTAAATAGTAAAAAGTCAGAGCACACAGTGGTACTCAATAAATAACATGCTGGATTCAACAAAGATTTGTAAAAATCAAGCTCCTATATGATTATTGATAGACACATTTGTGACAGATTTGCAGTGGAAAGAAGCACTATATTGAATCTATGTAGCTTTAGTCTCAGGAGTAATACATTTTTTAAAATGTTACTAGGTTACAATAAAGCAAGGAGTTACAGATATTGGAAACCAACTTTCTGTTTACATTCTTTGAAATATGAGGGGAAAAAGGAACTCCCTTGCCTCACTGTGTAAGGCAAGAAAACTTGCACAGTGCCATTCAGAGCCTTTTGCCTTTCAGATGGGTCTAGGCCTGAAGCATGAGCTATGTCAGTGTTGATACAGCTGATGGAACCCAAACATTTACCTAGCTCAAGTGGACATGTTCTCAAGAGCACCATGAGTCTTAGCCTCCAGGGAGCCATTTAGCTTTCAAAAAATATTTTGCAGAAAATTTCTCAGTTGTTTTAACATTGACCTTTTGTGGAGACTGCTAGAATCTAAATTGATACTTGACATTTTGGCTCTAATTCTAGATTAACATAGTTCAAACCATTACCAGTGCTATAAAACCTGAAATTTTGGAATTTTAATAAACCTCAAAATCATTTTCTAATAATTTTCTAGTTGTGTTGTTTTGTAGTTTATAAATCAGCTAGTTAAATATGGTATTGGTTGCCATACAATACAATATCATACAGAGGCAGTATAGTGTGATAGTTAAGATCACAAGCTTTAGAGTCAGACTGCCTGGGTGTGAATCCTGGCTTTGCCACTTACTAGGAGAGTGACTTTAAGCAAGTTACTGAAGCTCTCTGTACTTATGTTTCTTCATACATAAAATGTGAGTAATAATAATAATAATAATAATAATAATCAGAGTTTTCCAGAGAAACAGAACCAGTAGCAGATATATTTTGATAGATGACAGGTAGGTGGGTGGATAGATGGATAGATAGACAGACAGACAGAGATAGATAGATAGATAGATAGATAGATAGATAGATAGATAGATAGATAGATAGAAAGAATTTATTTTAAGGAATTGGTCTAATATGATTCTGGGAGCTGGCAAATCTGAAACATTTAGGTAGGACCTGGTGATGCAGTCTTGAGAAACCTCAGTTTTATTTGTAAGGTCTTTCAATTTATTGGTTGAGGCCCTCTCATATTTATAGAGGATAATCTTCTTTAGTTAAAGTCAGCTGATTATAGATGTTAACCATCTATAAAATACCTGCACAGCAACACCTAGATAGTGTTTGATTGAATAACTGGGTAAGATAGGCTACTCAAAGAAACCCATAAAACTATCACACATACTATCAAATTTAAAAAATCATGATAATTAAATGAGTTAATGCATTTAAAGCACATAGAATAAAATCTAACATATAGGAAACACTCATAAAGGCTAACTTAAAAAATCATGATAATTAAATGAGTTAATGCATACAAAGCACATAGAATAGAACCTAACATATAGGAGATGCTCAGAAAGGCTAGGTAAAAGAGCATTGCTTTATAATATCAGCCAACACTTATTAAGTACGTATAATATACAAAGTTCTGTGCCTAACATTATGAGAGAGTTAGCGATAGAATCATAATATATCCACACAAGAGTGAATCATGAAGTCATCTAGGCCAGCCTTTCATCTTAAAAATTTTGGAAGCTGAGGTCCGATCTTATTTTCATACTACAACCAGAAGGGTTTTGTTATTGTTTGGACTTTGGTTTGTTTGAATTTCACTCTGTCGCTCAGGCTGGAGTGCATTGGTGTGGATCCCTACTCACTGCAGCCTCTACCTCCTAGCTCAGGCAATCCTTCTGCCTCAGCCTCCCGAGTAGCAGGGACTGCAGATATGTGCCACCGCGCCCAGCTAATTTTTTGATTTTTTGTAGCTACCAGATCTCGCTATGTTGCCTAGGCTGAACTTGAACCCTTGGACTAGAGTAGTTCTCCTGGCTCAGCCTCCCAAAGTGCTGGGATTACAGGCATGAACTACTACATCTGGCCAGGTTTTGTTTTTTTTTATAGTGATGAACAATGCACAGAGAATACCCTGCCCTAATAAGATACCCATTGATGACTGTTTCTGTCTCAAATCTAACCAGTATTCTTATTCATTTCCATGCAGGAAGGGAGGGAGAGAATTGAGCTCAGAGACTGTGATGTAGGCCAAGTACACCTAAAGGATTGAAATGATAAAGTAGAAATGTTTCTACTCACTTTTTTTTTTTTTTGAGTTGGAGTCTCACTTGGTTGCCCAGGCTGGAGTGCAGTAGCATACTCACGGCCACCCCAGTGTCGACCTGCTGGGCTCTGAAGATCCTTCCACCTCAGCCTTCTAAGTAGCTGGAACTACAGGCACGTGCTATCATGCCTGGCTAATTTTTTTTTTATCGTAGAGACAAGGGCTCTCCAAGTTGCCCAGACTGGTCTCAAACCTGTGGGCTCACGCAGTCCACTAACCTCAGCCTCCCAAAGACTGAGCCACCGAGCCCGGCCTCTGCTGAGCCACCGAGCCTGGCCTCTGCCCACCTTTTAGACTCAAGGGGTTGGTGCCTAAGCTTTTCCACAGTGACAGCACTATCTTCTATGAAATTTTAATGTGTAGCCCTTCTGTGCGGGGTCTCTTCATGAGTACGTCAGTCATTTCTCAATAATATACTAAATATTCCTGAGTAGCCAAAGGGAAATTAAGAATCTGGTTTCCAACTGCTGTGAAATTTAGCCACTGGGGAAGTTGTCTCTTATTCCCTTTATGTGGAGGTTCATTAACAGAGACTGCCTAAAACATTAATAATAATCTGTAGGACATTTTACAGTTTTACAAAGTACTTTTGAGAGATAGAGTAAGTATTATTATCCCTACTTTGCTAAGAAGGAAGCTGAGACTCAGAGTTGTAAAGTGAGTGGTCCAAGATTACAGAGTCAGTAACAGATTCTGGCTGCCTAATTCCTAGTATAATGTGCTCTCTGCTGTATTACTCTACTGGCAACGTCTGGTGGTTAGAGGTTGGGAGAGGAGCTGCTTCTCAACCCTGCAGTTCTCTTCCTTAGTTCTTAAGTGAAGGCAGTCTTTACCTATACTTAACACTTTCTTTCTTTCTTTTTTTTTTTTTTTTGAGTTGGCATCTCATTCACGCCAGATTGGAGTGCAGTAGCACCATCATGGCTCTCCACAGTCTTGGCTGGTCTAAAGGGATCCACCTTCCTCAGCTTTCTTAGTAGCTGGGACTACAGGTATGTCCCACTATGCTGAGCTAATTTTTTGATTTTTTGTAGAGACGAGGTATTGCTATGTTGCCCAGGCTGGTTTTGAATTCCTGGGCTCAAGCTATCCTCCTGTCTTGGCCTCCCAAAGTGCTGGGTAATACAGGCATGAGCCACCATGCCCTTCCACTTAATCATATTTGAACGTAACTCTTTTACTTTGCTTTAAACAAATGACAGTAAATATCTTTAAACCCACAGCTAAGTTTAACTGAGAAAAACATCTATGAAGTTTAAAATATATACCTGGAGACTGTGAAGTTAACAAATTTATCTTTATCTTTTTCTTGCTCTGGAAATTAATCTTAACTTTTTCAGTAATGTGCGTCTTTCTTTGGATTATACCTAAATGTGCTTTCAGTAGTGATAATTTGACTGAGTTTTATGAGTATGCTTGTAAATTTGGATCCTATTCTTATTTTAATTAGCCATAATTGTCTGAAACTTGAACTGTGGAAAGTTTTCTCTGCTTTTTTTACAGTACAGAGATTTCTTTCTATCTTTCTTTTTTTTTTTTTTGACACCTATTATTCCATGAATTCATAGGAAATAGGTTTCAGCAGCTCAGGCTCCTTTCCATGGGTTCTCACAAAGTGTACTTTGCTTCCCTGAATGGAGCAGGCAGAAGCTTCAGTTGAACCCAAGTCCCTCTCTTTGGCTTTCTTCTTTTTTGATCATTTTTCTTTACACATTTGAGGAAATTATCTTTGCTCTTAGAGTTCTTAATACATTAATTCTCTTGGCGAGAATCTTGCCAACAGCGTGCATGGTAATATTTGTGGGGCATTGCTATTTGAACAATATTCCTGATGTCTGCAATATCACCTTTCTTGTAGGAGATTTGCACGTAAGTGACCAGGAACAACTCCATGTTTTCTAGAAGGACTGGAGAACATATATTGAGGGCCTGTCCTCTTTGGGGGGTGTTGGTCATTTTGACAAAGTACTGGAAGATGGCAGTGGTTCCAGCATTTTTAAAATTCTGCCATGTCACAATGGTAGTTCTGAAACTTACATATGCACCTTTTATTACTTGGCAAATATTTAAATATAAGATTATTTAAAAGTGCTTTCCTGTTTTAAGTGTAAGGTCCAGTTAAACAAGAAAGTCTCTGAAACTAGCCTCACCTTAGCATTTGACACATCATATTGTAATCATTTATTTATTTTTGTGTCTGTGATTTTGTACCAACTGTGGGTTCTCAGGCTTTTGTATAATAGAAATTGACACGAGGCCAAACAAAACCCCAGACAAGGTTTTACTGGGGGCTTGTACAAGGAAGACAGCTTAGGAGAAAGTTCTCCTGTTGGCTCCTGAAAGACTGCTGGTCGGTAACTTTTATTAGATAAGGGAAGGGGTGTAACTTCAAAGGAATTATGTGTTAGCATGATTAGGGAGGGGTTCTAACTGCACGAGTATAGATACATACTTCATACGTCGAATGTACAAAAATTTGGCAGATAAGCCCCACCTATGGTGAGAATTTTATTATTATTATGAAGTAAGCATTACAGTCGGAGTTTGTGTGTGTGGTCCTTGTACACATGAGGGTGAGGGGTAGGCAGGGACTGTCTTCCCAGGCAAGATTTATGGTAAAACATTATTTATTTTATTAGGTTTTTTCCAAGGTTGTGGTCTGTAGGATGACTCCAGTGTATGCATAGTTGCAAACTCTGGTGGTTAAATATGTGGAGGAGGCCAAGTCATATCCCTGTCTCAAATTTTTTTTTTTTTTTTAATGAGACGAAGTCTCGCTCTGTCTCCTCACTGCAACCTTCAGCTCCTAGGTTCAAGTGATCATCCCATCTCAACCTTCCAAGTAGCAGTGACTGACAGGTATGCACCACTAAATGTGGCTAATTTTTTAATTTCTCAATTTTTTTTTAAGAGATGGTATCTCACTATGTTGCCCAAGCTGATCTCGAACACCTGGCCTCAAGCAGTTCTCCTACCTCAGCCTCCCAAGTACCTGGGATTACAAGCATGAGCCACTGCACCCAGGATATCTGTGATTTTTTTATGATAAAGACTTTGTTGTGGCATCCTTTAGAGGTAGTGAAATACAATGAAAAGAAAATGAACTTTGGAGTCAGTCAGTCCTCCTGGTTTCACATCTCTAGGTCTGTCACTTGCTAGGGTCTTAGGCAAATTACTTGTTACTTAAACTTTCTGAGCCTCTATTTATATACCTTTAAAATAAGGAAAATAATACTGACTTCATAAGGTTGTTTCAATAAATTATTAAAAGCACCCAACACAGTTCTGCTACATAATTGGCGTTTAACAAATATTTGATGTTCTCCCTTTTTAAAATTCACATCCCTAGGCCTAGCAGTCCAATACTTAAGATCTCATTAAACTTTTGATGAATGACTGAATGATTAGATGACTATATATTCTTGTCAAAGAGAATCATATTTGAAGTAAAGAATAAATATTATAGAATGGATTTGCTATTGATTTGATCTTTTTCAATTTAGTTGTAACTTAAACATGCATTCTCTCTACGTTTCAGAATTATTGGTGGTGTTTGCCCAGTGAGTAGAAGTGTGACACTATATAGTTTCATTGTACTAAGCAGAGCCTTCCATGTTTTAGCAGATTTCTTGCTTTTCACATATTCCTTATGGTCACCATTTTGGAATTGTTTTAAGGAAGAAATGTTGTTCTTGGCCATTGCTAGGTCATTGTGGCCATTGTCTTGGTAAACTATGGTGTGGTCATGTGCTCTTTGAGCTGTGACCAGGCCATGTTTCCTGGTTTTGGCTCCCTCCCCTACCTTGGGGAGGTGAATCTCCTCTTTCTCTTTTGCTCTCTCTCTCTCTAATTTACTTTCTAAATAAACTTTATTTTCTAACCAAAAAAAAAAACCAAGAAATGTCCTTGGTCTTCCTTCTGTCCTTCCTCGTGGTATTATTTCTGTTATCTTTCACTTATAACACTTACCTTACTCTAGATTATACTGGGTTATTTGTAGACTTGTTTTTAGCTACCACCTAGAGCTCAAAATTTACTACAGGCGCTCTTAACTTATTTGGGGTTCCTTATTAACCTTTTTGAGACTATGATGAAAGCTATGAACTATCCCATATGTACAAAGTTTTTGTATTAGTTCAGGAGGTTGATGGATTCCAGGGTAAGGACTCTCTAGACTGTGTGTTCCTTCAGAGCAGTAACTGAGTTTTATTGACCTCTGTCTGTGGCAAAGCCTACCACAAATATAGGAGATACTCAGTAAGTAGTTTCTCAATTAATGAATTGAAATGTAAAATGAGAATCTTTAAATGTCTTTCTATCGAATTTCTAAATACAATTTCTTCTTTGTTTTCTTAGGTTTTCATCTGAGTGGCACAGTAACTGAACCGTCCACGGCTTCTGAACCAGCAGTGACTTACAAAGTTGCAATCAGTTTTGATCGTTGCAAAATCACCTCAGTGACATGTGGCTGTGGGAACAAGGACATATTCTACTGCGCTCATGTGGTAGCACTCTCACTCTACAGGATCCGTAAACCAGACCAAGTCAAATTGCGTCTTCCTATCTCAGAAACCCTTTTCCAGATGAATAGGGACCAGCTACAAAAATTTATTCAATATTTAATCACAGCACACCACACTGAAGTTCTTCCTACTGCACAGAAACTGGCAGATGAAATTCTGTCCTCCAACTCAGAAATCAACCAAGTGAATGGTAATTGTACATTTTTGTTGCCAAAAAAAGGGTATTTTTTGCCACCACTGTCACCAAAGCAACCCTCTTACTTCTACTTTGTTGCTTTATTGCATGTTTACAGTTTGAAGTATTTCTGCACTTGCAGTCATTTAACTTTAATCACTTCATTCTATCCAAACAACTATTTTTAACTCTTAGTTTCTTAAAGCAATCTGATTTTCTGTCTCATAAAGGCTTTGGCAAAGGACAAAGAATGTTAAAGTTATATATTGGCCTCGTTTATGGATTTCTTATTGATGTAATCCCTGTCCCCAGGAGCCCAAAATATTCAACAGTGAGAAAAAGCACCAAATGATTTGTGTCATTCAGTGAATCAGATGGATATGAGAATTCTCTTGACATTTCAGGATCCTATATAGCATCAGAGTTATCCTTAGGAGCATCAGTTAGCATTGTACTTATGAGCTATATAATGGGGGTACATGAGAAAGAGATTATTACTCATTCATTAAACTGATTCATTAAACAAGTATTTATTTGAGTAAGTACCATATTCAAGGAATAGTGCTGATTGTTGAGGGACTAAGACAGGCATGGCCTCCACAGTAGCTTATAACCTAGGCAGGCCTGAAATAAATGCTTGTATTCCATAATGAAACCAGACTATAGAAACTTAATCAGAGAAAACCATTGAAAAAATTTAAGATGAGGTGATATATGAGCCAAGTTTTTATTTTGTTTGTTAGGTCCTATTATATTCCAGGCACCATGCAAAGGATTTTATATATGTTAATTCATTTAGTTTTCAAAACTACTCTGTGAGGTATAAATAAGGAAATTGTCCAGGCGTGGTGACACAAGCCTGTAATTCCAGCACTTTGGGAGGCTGAGATAAGAGGATTACCTGGGCAACTTGGTGAGACCTTGTCTCTACAATAAATCAAAAAAATTAGCCAGGCATGGTAGCGTAAGCCTGTAGTTCTGGCTACTTGGAAGGCTGAGGCGGATGGATTGTCTGAGCTCAGCAGGTCAATGCTGCAGTGTCTGTGAGTGTACTACTGCACTCCAGCCTGGGCGACAGAGACTCCAATTCAAAAAATAATAATAAAACAAATAAATAAGGAAATTATTTATAACCTAGGTTCACTTGACTTCAGAATTCATGTTTTATGTTTCTCTAAATGACCTCTTTCTTGGAAAATAACTTTGCTACTTGTGTGGAAGAGGCAGTGAGACCAGGTGAGTAGCCTGTCTAATAGAGTACTTCACGCGCCAAAAGGCCTGCCTTTCCCAGTTGTTCAGTAGAACAAATCAAATCCTCCATACAACCTCAGTACACCTCAGAAACAAGGATAGTCAGACAGGCAGCTTCCGGGAGCTCTAGCTAACTAGCAAAAATGTTCTGTTGCTTTAAAAATAATAAAATAACCCATAATTTATTTATAAAAAGTTGTATATTTATTCTTACATGTTTAAAATTCTGTCACCTTCCAAGTACTGTCTATCAAGATGCTTTTTTTACTGCTCAGAAGAGTTTTTGAACTTGTCAATTTTGATGTCTTTTAGTATTTCTGCTGTTTTTTGTTTTACCTCTTCCACATTGGCAAAAGTTTCCCTTTGAGGACTTTTTTCATCCAGAGAAACAAAAAAAAAAGTTGCTCAGGGTGAGATTGGATGAATAGGGAGGGTGGGTCATGGGAGTCATGCCGTTTTTTTTGGTCAAAAACTGTTGAATACTCAGTGTGGTGTAGGCAGATGTGCTCATAAATTACCCATCATAAGGCTCCCAGCCTTTGGGAGGCTGAAGTGAGAGGACTGCCTGAACCCACGGGTTCAAGACCAGCCTGGGCAACTTGACGAGACCTCACCTCTACAATAAATCAAAAATTAGCCAGGCTTGGTGGCGTGGGCCTGTAGTTTCAGCTACTTGGGAGGCTGAGGTGGAAGGATCACCTGAACCCAGTGGGTCGTGGCTGCAGTGGTCATGAGCATGCTACTGCACTCCAGCCTGGGTGACAGTAAGACTCCAACTCCAAGAAAAAAAAAAATTGCCCATCATAAAGTGGGTAAACGTGTTGAAAAAAAAATCTCAAAAAAAAAATTCACTGAAGCCAAACACAGCTCTCACAACAACACTGGCTGGTACACTGATGCCAATGGGTTCCTAAAACATTCACCTAGCAGGGGAATCCTGTACTACAAGGGGCCTCTCCAAAAAATAATTCCATTTTTGGGAGATCCCTCCTTGTATACTCAAAGTTGTAGTGTTTACATGATAATTGAACTCTCTTTGAATGATACTGTCCAAGAGTAACTCACTGTACTTCTTTTTATTATACATAGGGAGACCATTCTATTTCTCCAGCCTCCTTATGCTTAGAGCTCTTAGATACCTGAGTTCTGCCCCAGGTCTATAGCACCAGAGAGAAGAATAGCTCTGTACCCTATCAACTGGTCTATGTCCTGCTTTTGTGCCTCATTCCTACTGTCATTTTCCCAGAATTGTTTATTTCCAAACTCTCACCTCCTTTTGAACTGACTGCCTTGGTTCAGGACCTGTATGGCCCTGTCCTTTTTACCACCACTGTCACCAAAACAGCCCTCTTCCCTCATTACCACTGTGCTGAAGAAAACTTCATTCCTCATTACACCTCCTATCCCAGTATCTTATTCTTTGAAATTAGACTGTAATTGCCACAATGAACTTGAGATGTGATTCTCAACCTCCCCAGGAAATACTACTTCTGCACGTGTTTCTCTCATACTTATAATACCTTTCTACCCCAGGTTTCATATTATTCTACAAGGACTTTCCTGAACTATTTCTAATAACAGGGCTGGTATGGGCAATGATTCAAAAAATGGAGATACCATAGAGGTAACATGGACTGCACTCAACATCCAGGTGTGTAGGTTGAGTGGGAAGTGAAGACAAAGATAACATAAAACTGAATTTTTCAATATCTAACTGGGATGGCATTGATGGATTTGATAATGATGTTGCCATTCATTTAGGGTACAAAAGAAAAATGAATTTGGGAGGAAAATGAAATTAACTTGAGATGCTTATGGACATTTAGGTAAAGATTTCTGATAAACAGTTGAATATATGGGTCTGGAGCTGAGAGGAGGTAAGTCAGAATGTTGGAGTCTGCAACATAGAATGTCATATTTCTGTTCCCTACTGAATCTTTAAGCACTTAGAAAATTTTCCATTTCTTCTTTCCCAACCCCCCTTTCCTCCCCAAAACAGACTTCAAACAGCAAGAATAAGATTTCTAACACTGATAGCTTCCTGCTTTTAATCTCAAGAACAGATTCAGGTTTTGTTTGGCTCCCTGCTTTCCTGAAACCATGACTTGTGCTAGTCCCTATATATGTTTATAACTAGAAGTTGCCTTGTCCTTTTTGGATTGGTGATTCAAATTTGGACTATCTTTCAAACTCTGCCTCTAGTACTACTCCATGTTGTACTTGTGATTTGCTCTGGTAAATCAATACCCCAAGTTTCTCTGGCATACAGTATACCGGCCAGGGTTTCAGCTCCTTTTATCCAGAAAGAAAGATTGCATATCAAGAGAAAAGTGAGATAATCTGAGGGGTCAGACCAGGAACCATGTTTTACTAATTTCTGAGTCTCCATCACCAAGCATGGTACCTGGAAAACAATAAATGATCTATAAGGTTTTTGTTGTTGTCTTTGTTTGTTTTGTTTTCAGTAGGCATCTCACTCTATCACTCAGGCTGGAGTACAGTGGCATGCTCACAGCTATTACAGCCTTGACCTGCTTGGCTCAGGTGATCCTTCCACCTCAGCCTTCCAAGTAGCTAGAACTACAGGTTTGAGCCTGTAGTTTTTTAATTTATTGTAGAGACAAGATCTTGCCAAGTTGCCCAGGCTGGTCTCAAACCCCTGGTCTCAGGCATTCCTCTCGCCTCTGCCTCCTAAAGTGCTGGGATTACAGGTGTGAGCCACTGCGCCTATCATCTGTAAGTGTTTGTTGAATGACTGTGTCCTTGATTATACAAAGGGGATTCCCAAAAAATGGAATTATCTTTTGGAGGGCAGGACCATTGTACAGGCTTCCCCTGCTGGGCAGATGTTCTAGGAACCCACTGGCATCCGTGTACCACCTAGCATTGTTGTGAGAGGCTGCATTCAACTTCAGTTAATTTTTTTTTTTTTGAGAGTCTTTCAGTGCATTTGCCCATTTCGTGATGGGTGATTTACAAGAGTACCTGCCCACACCACACTGAGTGTTCAACTGTTTTTGACCAAAAACGGCATGACCCCCATGCCCCATCCTATTTACCTGATCTTGTCCCAAGCAACTTTTTTCCATTTCTCTAGGTGAGAAAAGTCCGCAAAGGAAAACATTTTGCCGATGTGGAAGAGGTGAAACAAACAAACAAAAAAATCAGAAGTGCTAAAAGGTATCACAATTAACAAGTTCAAAAACTGTTTTGAACACTGGAAAAAATGTCTTGATAGGGGTATTACATCAAGCAGAGAATACTTTGAAGGTGACTGACGTTTAAACATGTAAGAATAAATACATAATTTTTAATAAATTCCAGTTTTTGGGGGGGGTCTTCCCTCATACAGGTGATGAAAGAAAAGCCAGTTAGGAATTAGCAAAGCAGAAGGAGAAGAAGCTAGCAAGTTATTATCAAAGTCACTGTAGCACTGAGTTTCAAGAAGTGAATGGTCAACAGTGTGGAATACTGTGGAAAATACGGAGCAGAACTAACAAATGTATAAAGACAATTTGGCGGAAATAGACACTGCAGAAAGAAGAAAACACTGAAAACGTATTATCATCATAGAAATAAAAAGATATTGCAGTCATTAAATAAGAACTAGGTGCTACAAAAACAAATTCAGAGAACAGAAGGAACTCAAGAATATTACACATGTGATGGCAGAACAATTTAAAACTCAATAGAAGTGTTGGAAAATAAAGTTAAAGAAAGTGCCTATAGAGTAGAGCAAAAAGACAGAGTTTTTTAAAAAAAGA